AACTTGGCAAGCTGAACCAGACGTTGGTTTTGTAGGTTTTATATCCTTGATACAAGCTCGTCAAAATAGAGGATGTTCCATGTTAGGACTAAAATTTAATACAACAAAAAATTCATAAATGTTAAGAAGTTATAACGAAAATATGAACCGTGAAACTCGATTGAACCTCAAGACATTAAAATAAAAATCTTTTGCATTCAATTTCGTGAGTTTCCTTGCAATTTAATATAAACTTGAACAATAGTTCAAACTTTCATGACAACAAAAACTTATCCAAGAAAGAATATTTCTAGCATTTAAGATAAATGAGAAATATCAGAGAAAGATCAGAGAAACTAGACTCTGATAAAAAAGAATGTTTTAAGTTATCCACATAATTCTAAAAATATTTATTCGTCCCTCAACTAGCAGTTGCTCGCTTCAAACAAAATTTTAGTAAATAAAAAATCATCACATTTCATATTTTTATTATAATTCCTTAACATAGCATTTATGGATTTTTTTATCTTAGTTTTATTTGTGAAACACACTGTATAATAATGTTAAATTTCATATTTCTATTATAATTTCTTAACAAAGCATTTATGGATTTTTTTTTACATTACATTTTAGTCTTAATTTTATTTGTAAAACACACTGTATAATAATGTTAAATTTCATATTTCTATTATAATTTCTTAACAAAGCATTTATGGATTTTTTGATATATCACATTTTACTCTTAGTTTTATTTGTAAAACACACTGTATAACAATGTTAACCACATCGATGAATCGTTGGATTAAATTCTTAATCGATGGAAATTAAAATTTGCCTTCTATCAAATTACAAATTAATCTGCCCACACGACGTATAATTTGAAAATAATTTAATTACTTTCATAAATATAGAGACGATGTATTTTTAGGAAAGAATGAACGTTTCTTGAAAGAAGTCGGTATTTTCTCGATTCGCAAGCTCCTTTAGGTGCATTTTAATTAATCTTTGGTGACAATGGAGAGTCGATTGTCCATCGTGGGTGAGATTTTCGCGAGAAAGGAAAAGTCGAGGGACGATGAAGATGTTACGGCGTCGTCGGATCGGAAACCGAAGTGACGATGCAGAAAATTGCTCGTTGGTGGCAGCATGCGTTACCCCTCCGCTTGATCCATGCAATCAACTCGAATTTGTTCCGTGAAAAGTTCCGGGCGGGTTAAGAAATGACAAAGCGACGTCGCGACGTCCGTTTCTGCCCGATTGCGTGCGATTCCGCGTGATTGATGCCCCGTGGACGATGCGGCTAATGTTCAAGAACGAAGTTTCTGACCGTTGTCGTCACTCTCTGTCCAGTTGAGAGCACCGAATGAATGTCAGTAGGGCTGGGGACTACCCGAACAATTTACTCTTTTAGCCTTTGACAAGTGTCTGAACCTTACAATCGAAGATAGCAATTGCAATTGCATTCCAATGAGTCAAAATCATTTTGATCAGTGTGGAAGTTAAATACAAAGTTTCATTGAAATCTCGGAAGATAAAAACTAGAGAAACTCCGGCTCTTCCGTTGCCAAATTTCACTCTGTTCTCATCTATCATGAATTTATGAAATGGGCTCAAAAAATTCCACGAACTCTCTCTCTCTCTCTCTTTCTCTGCTTCCGTCCTTTCCGATTTATTGCCTTTTTTTTGGACGATGACCGCAGAGCCAGAGAGAAGGACTCACTTCTGTTGGTGCCACCGGCCAGGGCCCACAGATATTATATTGCCCCCTGAATTATACCGTCATAAAAACGTGATGAAGCGACCGCGGACTGGCAGAGCCCCGGCGAACGGCACGAAAAATCAAAGGGAACGGGAATAATGGTCAACGAACGGCCAGACAGGCTAATATATTCGTTTTTCTCCGTACGATTCGCGATGCTGTCCTCGCCTAAGGATCTGTCCATTATTTTTCGCCTCGACGACGCGTTTTGACGAACCTTTAAAAACAGTCGCGATCGCTTGGGTGAACTCCTTTCGTTTCAAACTTTGAATCAACGCAATAAGGAAACATCGTCGTTTCTGGATCGAATATCGGTATGGAAAGGTCGACGAAATTGGAAAAACTAACAAAATATCATTTTTATGCAACATAGCAATATTAAAGAATCTAGACTAGCGTTTATATGCCTGAATTCCAAAGCAACACGTGTCCGTAAAGAAATATCGAAGAAAATATAGCAATCTAAGTTTTTACAAGTTTTACTTTAACCTAATAAATGAGGACCTCTTTAAAAAAAAAGTAAACGTTTCTTAAACCATTATTATATTTTAAATTTGACTGTTACCAGTCAAAAGAGTGATAAAATAAAATTTCCAATGAATTTATAATATTTTAGTTTTTTTTGAAGGTTTTTTAAGTTTTCTTTTTCTGCAAGCAAGTGGAACATGTGTATAAAAAAATAGTATGTGAATTAAACCGAAGTCTTGGAAGTAATAAAAAGAGGCCTCGAACGCAAATAACTACCCCCAGTTATGTCGATCCTCGAGGAACTATCGAAAAGTGGCGCTGGGTGTTTTACAGCGGGCAAGATGCAGCTTCGAACTGCATCGCGGAGCACGATGCTCGAAGTTTGCTCATCCTAGGATGGTACCAAGAGCTCCTCGTTTCCTCAAACACGTTTGAAAGCTAGCTAGATAAACATCGTTCCTGGAAATCTTCGACGGAGCGAAATTCATTTGATTTCGAGGAAGAAAACGCGTTCCCCCCCCCCGCGTATCGTCGGAAACCGCGAAGAATAGAAGGCACGAGGGGGAAAAAGGGGGATAAACGGCGGGTAGCGTGGTCAAAGCGATCTCCCCGGGGACTTTGAAGTATCCTTGGCTAGCCACACGTTTGTTTTTCCTGGTCTCTGCTCCCCGGGAACTCATCTCGCGGCGTAATTATCGACGAGAACGCTCCGTGGATTGCGTACCCGTGCAACCTGCGACGAAACCACCATCCTATAACGTGCATCGCGTCGTTAATTTAGTATTTATTTATTTATTTTTCGAGTACACGCGTTACCTCGATTGTTCACCTTCGACTACCTCGAATGATCTCGTTATTTTTATGGATATGGAGAAACCTTCAGGATTTATTTTACACTCTGGCTTTTTCTCATTATTGGATTCTACAAAGTTCGTGAAGATTATTTAGCAAATAGAAAAGAAAGCAACACTTAGTTAGGAATTCAATAATTTACTAAGAATTTGAATATATAAACATAAAAGGAGCTAACAGAAAATTTGTACGAGTTCTTGAAAATCTGAATCTAATCATTTAAATCTTGTATTCTGTGCAAAAATTCTATTATGGGAGGGGTCTTCAATTTTCATGGGATAGAGAAGATAAAACGGCCTGGGAAATGAATTTTGTTCAAAATCGATATCGTGGTTAGCTCTAGAGAGAACTATTTAGCAACTAACAAGCATTTTGTATTTAAATTTAAATTAATTTTCGATTAAATAAGTAATTTATGGTGCAGTTTTATCGTACATTAATCGTACGATCAGTAGAAATTGTTGAAACTTCTTAGGGTATGTAGAGTCAAAGTAAATGTTAAAATAAAAATAGAAGATAGCAAAAATTATAGTAGGTGATATGGTCATCAGATAGGGGATGAAATGCCCTTTAAAATGAGCGTTTGTGGGAGTGGTTAGCTTTATTAGTTCCGGAGATATAGCGATTTTAGTTTCAAGTCAATCGCGTCAAAGTAAATTGCAAAATAAACATAGAAGATGAAATAAATTGTAATAGTTTTTACAGTCATCAGATAGGGGATGAAATGCCCTTTAAAATGAGCGTATGTGCGAGTCGATAGCGTAATTAGTTCCGGAGATATAGCGATTTTAGTTTCAAGTCGCGTGGGTCGAAGCGTTTGTTTACATCGCGAGGTCAATGAACTTTCACTACGTCTTGCACGTGCTCGTAGTATTACGTCACTCAGTCACGTGCGCGCGAGAGAGAGGCCAGACGCGTCAGACGGAGACAGAGATAGTCGAATGAGAAAAATTAGCTTCTACATAAATTACGATATCTCGAAAACGGAAAGTCCGATCGACAAAAACCAAAAACCGTCTTAAAGGGGAAGGTTCACCGCCTCTAACAAAACCTTAATAATTAATAAAACCATAGTAGTTTCGGAACTGCACGCGTCCAAAGTTTAACTATTTTTAATACGCGTTAATAGCCTTTTCTAAGGCGGAGACTGGAGAAATTGAAAAATCACCCTTTCATTTAAATTACGATATCTCGAAAACGGAAAGTCCGATCGACAAAAACCAAAAGCCATTTTGAAGGGGAAGGTTCACCGCTTCTAACGGTGGTTGAATAATTAATAAAACCCTAGTAGTTTCGGAACTGCACGCGTCCAAAGTTTAACTATTTTTAATACGCGTTAATAGCCTTCTCTAAGGCGGAGACTGGAGAAATTGAAAAATCACCCTTTCATTTAAATTACGATATCTCGAAAACGGAAAGTCCGATCGACAAAAACCAAAAGCCATTTTGAAGGGGAAGGTTCAGCGCTTCTAACGGTGGTTCAATAATTAATAAAACCCTAGTAGTTTCGGAACTGCACGCGTCCAAAGTTTAACTATCTTTATATGCATTATTAGACTGTTCTAAGACAGTGGAAACTAAAGATTCTCTCCTTTCCTCTTTGCTATACATATATACAGAGTTTGGTATCAAATTTTGTCCAGTTTTTTCAACGAAATATAAATCATTCAACCGGTCAGATGCTCGATTGTGATAGGCAAGGAAGACTACATATTTTTCTCAGAATACAAACAATAAGAATAGATATAAATATTGTAAAATTCATTGTACATATATTATAGGAAACTACGTGGAGTTAAATGGCGTTAAAATAATATTGTGTGTTAGAAATAGTAGGTGGGTTCAGTGTTAAGTAATTTGGAGGCTCTCAAACCCTCGTTTTATTAATATTTGAAAGGAATAACACTTTCTAACACTGACCATATGGCATTTGTTTGTACAGATGATGAAGCATGGCTGGAACAATTACGTGAGGTACGCCTGGGGGAAGAACGAGCTCAGGCCGATCTCGAAACGGGGTCACAGCGCGAGCATCTTCGGTGCATCGAACATGGGCGCGACCATCGTCGATGGCCTTGACACCCTCTACATCATGGGCCTCCACGACGAGTTCAAGCAGGGCCGCGACTGGATCGCCGAGAACCTCGATTTCGACATAGTGAGTACAAATGCTTTGGTATCTTTGCTTGTTTCGCGTGGAAAATCGTAACGTCGACCTCAAAGACCGGAGATCGTCTTTGTTCCACTTTGCTGAGGTGTCTTTGGACCCAGTTTCGACGTCGAGCGACTTTGCGCTTTGATTAGAGACGTGAAAATCATTTTAGCGCCGTGGCGACAACGCGAGAGGTCGCGAATCGAGATCTTTGACGAGGCCCTGTTAATATTCTACCAATTTTCACGAATTTTTCTTAAACAAATGAACGTAAATTTGCAATACCTTTGAAAAATCACGTCTTGACTGCAATTTAAATTTCTTATATACGTTTCGTGTAATATCGAACAATAGAAAATTGCAGGAGTATCGTGAAACGTGTTGCATTTATAATTTAAAGAAAGCATGATGAGTAAATTAATTCTTGCTCCGTGTATTTTAAAGCTTGTAATATCCTTTTGCGTGACCGTTTGAAGCTTATGCCGTTCCACTCGGTTTCTTTCCAAAGGGATTTAATAATTGAAAACGTTTTCAAAAATGCAGTCGGAACTGCACGTGAATAATTTCGCCGTTGCGAATCGTTCGGCTGCTCTCTATCGTAAATTAAACACGACGTTTTTTTGCGCATGTTTTGCCGCGTGGATTCTGTGCGAAATAATTTTTTCGACCGACGCCCCGAACGCGAAAGTCGTACGAAACGCGATTGGGAACGATTTTAATTTTAAACGACGGTGATTAAGCAGCTTGTAGCGGGTTGCGGGTATTCGAAGAGCTTGAGAGAAATATACTGGGTCAAAGAGAGATGGACGAGGAAATAGCAAAAACAGGAGATTCTCCGTCAGAGGATCAGATCCCACGAGGATTCGTACGTAATCCCTCGAGGATCAAGATCCATTAAGTTGGTTAATCGAGACATCACCGTGTATAGATTCTTTTCTCTTTCATCGATGCATCAGGAATATTCATTATTCCAGGAAACAGTAATGAGTAGAATATTATGAACGTATTAATGTTTGTTTATTTAATCGAATTGGTAAACAAAACATTGGCTGTTTACAGACTGATTGTCGGATGTAATAACGTCATAGCAACTGTGTAGCATTATTAGAGTTTAAGAAACGAAGATTCGAGAGGAATCCTTGCCCCTGTGTGTATCTTTCTCTACGATATTAATATCAACATTCCATTACGAGTTATTGTATTTCCACGATTGGTGATGGGAAAATTCTTCGGTATAATACAGTCGCGAGCATACCATAAATATCGAGACACATTCTACGGAAATTATGACATTCTAGGCTAGAAATAGACATCGCAAACTCTATTTGGACATTCTGTATACAAATTTAAATTCATTTTTAATTAAACACACAATTTATAATCCAGTTTTATCGCAAACAACGTGTATTTAAGTGGAGAATATGTAGAAATTCTAATAATATTGAGAAAGTTGGTCCTTGACACCGTAAAGTGAGAAAAACCCAATAAAAATGGTTCAATTTTCAAACGACCATAACTCCTACAATAGTGAACGGATTTGATTGAAATTTATTTTTGAAGTAGAGCTCATGGATACCTACAAAAAAGTATTAGACAAAATTTCCGTACAACGTCAAACAAATGTAATAAAAATGAAAAACGTATTTTTAAGAAAAATCGACAGGGGGTAGGTGCCTAAATTTTTCGGCGAAAAAAAAAAATTTCAAATCGTTCTAAAAAAAATATTTTTGGCTGCAGGGGTCAATTACAATCATTTTTGGTCAATAGACATACCACCGAAATCCTACCCACTTTCGAGAAAAAAATTCGAGTAGGTGTTAAATTTTTCGATAAAATTAAGAATTTTGAAATCGTTATAAAAAAATTATTTTTAGTTGTAGGTGTCAATTACAATTATTTTTGATAAATAGACAGACCCCCGAAATCCTACCCACTTTCGAGAAAAAAATTCGAGAAGGTGTTAAATTTGTCGACAAAATTAAAATTTTCAAATTCTCATAAAAAAATTATTTTTAGTTGTAGGGGTCCATTACAATCATTTTTGGTGAATACACATACCCCCGAAATCCTACCCACTTTTGAGAAAAAAATTCGAGTACATGTGAAATTTGTCGACAAAATTAAAAATTTTCAAATTATAATAAAAAAATTATTTTTAGTTGTAGAGGTCAATTACAATCATTTTTGGTGAATAGACATACCCTTGAATTCCTACCCACTTTCGAGAAAAAAAATTCTTTACCGAAAATATTTTAGGTCTGACCATATCATTGATATGTTTCACTGAAATTTCAAGCAAATCTTTAAAATGTCATAACTCCTGAACGGATTGGACGATTTTAATGTTTAAAAAAGCAAACTATGCGTATTTTAGTGGAAAATATGTACAAATCGTAAAAATATTGGAAAACTTGATCCTTGAACCCGCAAAATGAGAAAAACCCCATAAAAATGGTTCAATTTTCAAACAGTCATAACTTCTACAATAGTGAATATATTTCATTAAAATTTGGGGGGGAAGTAGAGTTTATGGATACCTACAAAGAAGTATTAAACAACTTTTCTGTAGAACGTTAAACAAATTTATTAAAAATGGAAAACTAATTTCTAAGAAAAATCGGGGGTGCCTTATTTTTCGGTGAAAAATAAAAAATTCAAATCTTTCTAAAAAAAATATTCTTGGCTGCAGGGGTCAATTACAATCATTTTTGGCCATTACACATGGTCCCTAATACCTATCCACTTTCGAGAAAAAAATTCAGGAATTTGGATAAATTTTTCGACAAAATTAAAAAATTTCAAATCGTTCTGGAAAAATTATTTTCGATTGCGGGGGTCAATTGCAATAACTTTTGGTGAACAGACCTACCCCCGAAATCCTAACCACTTTCTAGAAAAAAATTCAGTAAGGGCGGAAATTTAAACATTAATAACTTTTTAACAAAGCCTCCATCAACAAATTAGTGTCCTTGATTTTCGTCTTATTTTGGCTTCTAGAATCTCCCGTTAAAATTTTTCTTAGGGGTGTCCGGAATATTCCTATTTCGATTCCAAGTTTTGTCCATTTTTGTTACAAAAAAATCAGTTGCGGTAGGTTTAGTGTTAAATTTTGTCGTTCAGATTGTAGTCGTGACGCTAATGGACTCCTAATACTTGACAAAGACCCATCATCTTTGTTTCGAAAATCTAAATTGGTGTTATAAATGCAACTGTGGAGAAGCTCGAACGAATCGTCGTCTCCGTGACCCAATAACCCGACGAAGAAGAGCAATTCGAAAGAGTAGGATCGTTTAACCTGCCCGAGTCGATTGAAGTGAAACAACCCTTACCGCGGACCGCTAATAATTCTCGTTCCGGCACGGGACGTTCGACGCGACGCGTCCCCTCGCGTCGGGGATTAACAATCCAGGGCCAGACCTCGTTAATTAACTTAATCGTTATGTAAATCAGTGTCCTCGGTGCATCTCGCGGAGAAAGGGATCGCGAACGGGGAATAAACTTCGTCCGGGCGTTTTCGCCGTCAGACACCGGTCCCATAAGCACACCAGCCCAACCAAACTTGGCTCGGTTTATCCGAACTTGGTAACAGTCCTGTTACTTCTGCGTCCCACTGAAACTCTCCGTTACTCCAGCCATCCACGGGAACACCCGCGCTGCAGAAGAGAGTATTCCTAAGTAGATAACTTGTCGTATTAACCGGTAACCGCCCTGTCGACCGGCCCGGGAATTCATGCCTCCTGTTTCGCAGCTGTGCGTTGGCTACCAAACTCCCCAACTATAATTGCATCCTTAGTAATGAAGAAGGAGAGTTCTTTGGTAACATTCGTGGACGGAATAACAGAATTACTCGAGACGTCTGCGTAGAAATTCGTATGAATTGCTGTCTAATCGTGTTTCACATTCCGAACGTTTCTGGGGAAATTTAAAGGGACTTTTACGGTAAAAGTACTTGGAACAGAAGTTTCTATGTGAATAGATACATGTAAATGAATTTTATAAAGCTCCAACATAAGGTATGTAATAATCTCATGTAAGAGGAATTTATAAACTTTTATCTCGTTTCTTCTAAATTTTTATTCCAAATAGAACTTCTATTTATCTTTCATAATCGGAACTTTTGTTCGGAGAACTTTTCTAATAAAAGTTTCGTTTGAATTATTTCAACGGAACTTGTTAAAGTTTTACAACTGTTTCAAATTGCATAAATTTTATGTTTTTCAGTTGTTCATCAATTTGTACGCCACCATACTTCTTATAGAAATTATTCATCGAGGCTTGTTTTAATTACGAAATTAAGGGACGCGTGATAGCGAATATTAAACGACCACGAATTGAGTTTCTCTTATTCGGTTAATTTGACGATCGTTCGAATCGTTCTGAACCGTCGTTTCGTTTATTAAATACCGATCGAATTTACAAAATTCCAACGACCCTGGAATTTCAAGCGTTTCGCGACAAATCGATGGGAATTCTAAAACATTTGGCTTCTCGCTTGGAAGGGGATTTCGATTCTTCGCGTGGATAATAGGACGTTGAACATTTTCTTGGTTCGTGCCAACCACAACTATTTATGGTGGATTCCGGTACGGATAACTTCGCTGGAGAACTCGTTCATTTTTCCCAAAATTTCTCGACAAACGCGATTTTCGAGCGTCGTAATTTCGAGCTCAAACGTAATAACAGATTTTCAGTGGGGAGCTGAATCGCGAAACGACAGGAACAAAAGCCACCGTTCGTTCCATTGAACCGCGTAACTAATCCCTCATTGTATTTGAAATTCAAATGCCTGGGGCTATTTCGGTAAAAATAATTTTTCCACAGGCGAAACCACTTTGACAACTCGAACAACGAACACATCGCGCAGCGTGAAAAATATTTGTTGACTCCGTTTTAGCCGACTGTCGAAAATGCCTCGCGTTTGTTGTGAAAATAATTGCTTTTTGGAGAAATAAAATGAAACGTGCATTATCCTAGTTTTCGAAACCTTTGATGAATTTTGAGTTTAAGAATCGTTTGAA